GGTATCTGAACATGAAACATCTCATGTTACTTGTGAAGTGTGGTGTACATCTGGTCTAGATGAGCTACCAATACTCATTACGACAGTATATCCATTAGAAACAAACAGAAACACCTACATATTTATCAAGGTAGGAGAGATGAAAAACAACTGGTATTATTGGATTGTAGCAAAGGACGCGTTACAACTAAACGTGGCATATTCCAACTACTTTAGAATTAAACTGAGGACTGAATTAGAAAATCAATAACAGGTTTATTCGAACATAATAAACTCAACCCATGTTACTTTATTACTGTATTTTGTTGTGTTACACGATAGTATTGCGATTAAATAGCATTGGAATAGATTATGAAGAAAATAAAGCAAGTGTTTGCTTTATAATCAAGTCAAAAGACGAACAAGTCTTTCAAAATGTACAATTAATGAGAACACCTATATCGTCCAATACGACAACATCACTCATATCATTTAAGAATGTTCACAGTAATATGGTATATTCACATCCATTATCAATTGACAAAATACAAAAGGGTTGTATTTATTACCTGGCGTACAATAACTGGCGTTCCAGTATATTAGAAATCTAATATCAACTACCCTCATCCAATAAACTAACGCCTAATCGTGACCAATTCATTCAACATGTTCATTTATGTCACTAAAACATTGAAAATTTCATAAACATTTATTCTATTTCCAACACATCTTCTTTCCTGAATCATTGCACTCACCCTGTTTGCTAAATACTGTTAGTTATAGCTGATTTAATTTATCTTCCTGGCCTGTTTGTTGCTCTTTCCCAATATCATATTGCTGCTTCTTATTAAAAGTGTCAAATCCATCAAACATTGGTAGATTAATATTGATCAGTCTTAAGCAACCTGTCTCATGGCATCTTTTATCCAGTCTTGCACCAATTATCCTTCCTGTCACTCCCATCCTCTTATTCATTTGATTCCCTTTATGAATTTCTTACTGGCTCCCAGCCCCTAAAATGGATCGAGATATCAGCCTACAAAAAGCAAGCCCGATAACATACAAGACAGAAGAAGCAGAAATGGCCAATGCCAACCGCACTGATACAGACAAGCAGGACATTCTGGACCGCCTTCACAAGGAGAAGTTCAATACATCATTCATATCCATATGCAAAAATGCGTGTCAAAATTACACGATTGAAAGAGCACAGCTGTTCAAATACGCCATATACATCACCATGATAGTAGTCAAGAACGTATGTAATGCACTAAGCATGACAATCCTGAACAAATTGGACAACAAGGGACCCAGTGAACAAAAGACCGTAATAATTCTAAGTACTGGCTTTATTACAATGACACACATCCTAAACTACGCATTGGACTGGATGTTTGAAGAGAGACTCTGTAAATACGGTAGTAGAATGTCAGTCAATGCATTATACAGAATATTCAATGCGCATGATATTAGGGTCAATGAACTAAATCCAGTGAAGGCAGGCCACTGCATTTCAGAAGGATCGAAGGCAATGGCAAAAGTGGCA